TTTCACAGACAGGAATTAGAGTTAGGCTAATGCATGCTCACTAAGCTTGTGAAGACAGAGTTTATATTTTGAGACTGGCAGATGCAGATTATCTATGTTCTCCTCTTAATCGTAGTAACAATTCACAAATATGGCCATCTTAGACTTGAGCCTCCCAATAGATACCATCCTAGCATTGTGTCACTCTCTAATGCATCTACCCTATTTGGTGCCTCAGCCTATATTGGGGTGGCTAAGTGATACCCACATCAAGGTAGAACAGTGAACACCACAGTGTGTTGATATTCTAGAATCTTTATCACTGTGACATCACCACTGGCTAGCACACAGCAAATGTCCTTCAGTGTTTGCTGCAACAAAGGAAGGCTTTGCTCTGGTCTACAGAAACAGCTCCCCATCCTTCCTCACCTGAGTAGCTGGTCCAGGTGACCTTCAAGAAAGGGGACAGAGTCCATGTCGAGCTTCTGGAGGTGATCCAGCTTGAGAAACTTAGAGGTGAATTGGGCAACAAACTCCTCCTTCTTTTCTGGGGAAATATAGGGAGAAACATAGATGTGGGAGAGGGCAAATTTGTGGAGATTACGCATCTGACCCAGGTAAGGAGCAAACCGTGCCAGGGTGGACAGTGTCCAGGTGTAATTCACTTCTACCTCCTGGATACAATCCAGATCAACCAGTTTTAGGGCCTTTCTGATATTTTTGATGGACATTGCAAAGATCTTCAGGTTCTTACAGCATATGTGTAGTAAACCTTTTCTCAGCTTGGCCCACAGAAAGAGGAAGATAAAGAATTCATCTAAGGTTCTTTCCTTGAGATGCAGGTCTATGAACACCTTCAGTGGCTGCTGCCTTCCTCTCCCCGGACAATCCTCCACTGGTTTTCTCCTGCTCATGGCCTTTGGGGAGCACACAGTGGCTCCTGACCATACACTCCAGAAGTTCTGATCAACATTCCGTAAATCCAGCACTTGCAGTTTCCACCTCCTCCTTGGGGGAAAAAAGAGAGATTCTCAGCATTTTGACCAGAAATCCACCTCTAACCTAAGCTTATGCTCCACACCGTGGACACTGGCTGTTTCCATTCCCGCATGTGCTCCCTCTCCCTGACTTTACTCCATTCTCTTTCATTTTTGACGAAGCCTGGCCTCCACTTCCAGTACCTTTAAGTTCCATTGGGAGGAGTGAGATTTCTGTTCCCTCAGTGGTCCCTGCATGGTAAGTAGTCCTATTGTCAGGGAACTCTTTCCAAGAAGAGGCTCAGCAGGTCAGGGCCTCTCTGGATTTCCTCACTGGCACCATCAGAAGTCTCTGGTCTACCCTCTGACCCCTACTCTAACTGACCCAGCTGTCCCTTCCCAGAACTCCTGGACCCTTCCTAGTAGGACATCAGGATCACCTCACCTGGAGTGAATATTCTGGGAAAGCAGCCCATCAAGCCCATCCAGCACAGCTTTTAAGATCTCCAGTTGAGGTGTCTTCATCAGGGAGCCCAGAGGAAGCCTGGGAAAGGGCCAGGCCTGCACCATTGCCTTCAGTGTCTCACTGCGTCTCCTGGTAAATGCCTCCATGAACAGAGGTGGAAAGAGCTCCACAGGCAGCTCCTTCAGAGCAGAGATGACCATGGCCTCCTTCTCCAACAGGCTCTGCCCTGCCAGTTCCAGGAGTCTGGGTGGGGTCTGGAGGCTCATCATGATTCTGCAATGAAAGGAAATCTGGGGATTCATTCAGAGAAAAGACATTCTGATCAGGCCACACCTACACAACCCCTTCTTTTCCTTGGCCAATCCCCCTGCTCTGACAGCTTACCCCAATTTCACTGAACACTCAGGGGTCACAGAGACATACTTCTGCCCCTGCTGTTACTTGTGGAAAATCTTTCCACAAGTGCCAATGAGGTACAAAGTGGCCACCAGCACATTCACTTCCATCGAGTGCTCTACTTGATTCCATTCAAACTGGGAATTGGGTCAGCAGAGATTAAAGTCTATTGCTCTACCCTATTTGAGGATATTACTGGTTACCACTCAAGCCCCTAGGAAAATGCACGTGAGCGTGTCATGTGGCCCAACACAACCCACATTCTCAGTTCCTAACCTGGCTGGGAATAATTAAGGAGACGTTCCTATGATAAGTTTTCATTCCTTTTCATTTTTAAAAACTAAATGAGGAAATGTAAAAGTCATGTTAAGTATTATTGAGCATGGAGAAATGAGAGATGGAAAACATTAGCTCTCGGATGTAGAGCCCTACGCACATGCCTTACACTTTTAGAAATCATTGCTTAGAAATGTAGCTAGAAGGAGTAGAGCCCATATTTAGAACAAGACCTCATTATTAAAAATATTGTATAGGATATTTTTAAGGTTTTCATAAAATGAAAGTTTATACTGCAAAACCACAAAGTCAAGTAACCATATTTTAAAAGCACACAAAATACATGCATAAAAGTCAAGAAATAAAATTCCAGTCAATTATTTTTAATTTTTCTAAAAAATTCTAACTAGTGAAGCAATTTTAAAATGACATGAACCAAGCTCAAACTGAAATGTTTAAGAGGAAGGCAGCACTACACTTACAGGCAAAATCAAAGGCTTATATTTTTCATTTTTAAAAAAGGCATAAAAAAGAAAATTCTGTCTTTTCCATTTGGACATCTAGCTGATGACTGATCATAATGTTGAGTCTTTATGGTGGGCCAGGACTTACCAGATTGATGTGGTTGAGAGGGGGATCACACCTCACAGAAACCAGACAGTGACTCCAGGCTCCAAACTTCTGGATCTCCCCAGCTGCTCTTCGGATGTCCTTGTTGACCTTCCTAACATGCCACCTCTTTTCAACTGGTGGTTTCCAATCAGAAAGTGATATCTGATTAAATTCCTGAATCTCCACCCACTTAATCCTGATTAGGTTTTTAAAATTTTCCCCAGATTAATTTATATCAACAGATAAGTAATCTTGAAAAGGAAAGGATTAGGATTAGGAGGAAAATGAAGAAATCATAAATTGATGAATACCAAAAACATCGATGGGGTTTTACTAATATGTGAACTTTACGTTCTTAAGTGTGAGACACAGAAGGGTTCAATCTCTCCCTGACATTAGGCAGGTGATTCTGCTGGACTCAGGTGATTTTTCTGCCTCAGCCTTCCAAGTAACTTAAACTATAGGCACATGCCACCATGCCCGGCTACTTTTATTTTTAATGTATTGTAAAGTTGAGGTCTCTCCAGTTGCCCAGGCTGGTCTCAAACCCATAGGCCTAGGCAATCCTCTCACCTTGGCCTCTCAAAGTGCTGGGATTATAGGCATGAGTCACCACACCCAGCCTTTTTTTTCTCTGAGTCAGCATCTTACTCTGTCATTCAGAATGGAGTACAGTGGCATGCTCATGATTACCGCAACCTCGACCTACTGGGTCAGGAGATCCTTCTGCTGCAAACGTCCAAGTCGCTGGAACTACAGATATGTGCCTCAACACCTGGCTTATTATTATTATTATTATTATTATAGAGATGAGATCTTGTCAAGTTGCGCTGGCTAGTTCAAACCCCTGAGCCCAAACAATCCTATCCTCTTGCTTTGGCCTCCCAAAGTGCTAGGATTACAGGCTTAAGCCACACACATGGCATGAGGCACATTTTGACACTTGTTTTGTTTTTGTGTGGATATCTAGCCATTCACACAGTGTTTGTTGAAAAGAGTTTTCTTTCCCCCATTGAATTACATTGGCATTTTATCCAAACTGTCTACATAGATGTGAATGTATTTGTGGATTGTCTCTTTTGTTCCTGATACGACATAACATGGAATCAATATACTCAGTGAGTCACCATTTTACCATTGCCTAGATCTGTCATGTTTTTCTAGCAGTTCACTTTAATTTACCTTCTAATTACTAGCCAAGGGTAGAACCGGTTTCTTGGAGGTAGCTCTTGATAATTGTTTTACAACCCCCTCCCCAGCTTATTTTGCACTAATTAACTTTTCTATTTCCAATATTTGCCTCCACCCATAAGACCCAAGTTGATCTAATCAGCCCTTTGTGGCCTCACACAGACTCCATCATCATTGCAACCATCATGTGACTAAGCCACCCATCTGCCTGCCATCCATCACCTGATGTCAGTTCCTGTGTGTACCTGTACTCTGTGATAACAGGGCAATCACCTTGATAACCTCTCTCATCAAAGGGAAAGTTTAAAAGGATTCTACTCTGAGTGACTAGTCTTCATTGTTTTACTAAATGCTGGTGTGGCCATGTGCTCTTAGAGCTATGGCCACCGCCATGTTTCCTAAGCTAAAAATTTCCAGCTAAGAATTGTTTAGGATAATGAAACAAGTAATCAGAAGGGAAGACAATTACAAGAGGGGAAAGAAAGTATTTGAAAACTGGCTAATACAGAATCTTAATGAAAACTATAAGTTCTGCTTCTCTGTGTGTCTGTATGTCATGTGTATATACACGTTACACATATGTGATATTTTTATACTAAAGTATATAACAGAGCTCTGATTAGTTGGTTTGGAGAAAAAGTAAGTGCCTAAATCAAATATATTATCAGAAAAGTAGACCCTAACCCAAATGTTCTTTAGTTCATGTGACTTAGAAAATCTTTGATAAATAACACCAATTTAATATTGTTGGTTTCATAAAAACAGTTGTGTCATCTGATCAGCAAAATAGTGACTGACTAACAGGCACATGCTGTAAAAATGGTTAATAGAAAAATAACTTCAGGTGATTGTTAGTTTTGTTCAATAACTTATAAAATCTTCATAAATAGCTTAAACATAATTTTTAAAATGAGTAAATTAGACTTGGTACTTCCTATGAGGCTGAGTTGGGTAAGCAGCCTCATCTTCCCCAGCATCCTGGGTATTGACCAAAATGTGGTCAGAACAACCTTGCTCTTGGGGAAAACTTCCATGGCCTCCCCGGGGAGTGTCTGCAGAGCCACACAGTCAGGATGAGCAAGTTAAGCCTAGAGCTGTACAATGGCCCTCTGGAGACTTGTGGTCTCAGTGTTCTCCACCACAGACTTTCCCAGCTTCGGGATGAGCTGAAGGAGACACTGAGGGACTTAGGAATTCCTAAGAGGGTCTTGTTCTGTACCATCCCCTCCCCTCACTGTGGCAACAGTGAATTCTATGACTTGGAGCCCTACCAGTACTGCTGTTGGATGCCTGCCTAGTTTGGGGCATATCTCAAAAGCGTTCTTCAGTTTACTTGAAAATTGTCTAGGGTGTAGGTAGCATGAGCATAAGACCCATTCTTTCAGATGTTTTCTTGGTATGAATGGGAAACAGAAAGGTGATGCAGAAAGTAGGGGGCAGGCCCCAAGGGGAATGTTGACCTTGAGAGCAAATGGGACCTTTGGGGACATGTGTCCTGTAGAGTCAGAAATAGGAATCGGAATATCTAAAGTAGGATTTGCACTTGAGAATCACATGAAGAGTTAGTTCTGCGTGAATCATATAAGGAAATGGTCATTAATAAAAGGAACATCATTGCAAATTCTCTGGTGTCCTCCATGATCGTTTAACTTGTTTGAGCAATTTATACCTTGGGAATTGCCAGTTACTGATGAGGAGAAAAGAAGCACTGAGATGTCTGTGATTAATCATGTTTGTCTCTAGGAAGTCAAGGTGTCAAAACAACGTTCGACCAATTGGATCAATTCTCTTCCATTCCTTTCTTCCATCTGGACATTGGTTATCTTGCTATTTTCTGCAGCTGTTCAGTGTGTTAATACACACCATGTGGACACACGGTACATGGAGCATTCTAAGTGAGTAAGCATGACCCACTGGAGTAAAGCCCTTTCAATGTCTCTCAGTGATAATCAGATGCTGAGACCCTTTTCCCTCCTAATAAGTGGATCCAGAAGAATCAGTTCCTGGAATGCTGGGAAAGGGCTTCAATGCACAGGGTGTGGTTCTATGCCCTGGGAGGGGACATCCACACTGGAAGGGGGGGGTACCAAAAAAACCTCAGAATTTATTTATGAAACATTATGTATTTATTTTTACATGTTTAAGCTTTGGTCACTTTCAAAATACTTCCTGTTAGATGCAGAAGTATTTTGTCCTGGTCAGAAGAGTTTTTTGAACTCATCATTTTGGATGCCCTTTAGTGCTACTGCCATTTTTTTTTCACCTCTTCCACATCAGCAAAACATTTCCCTTTGATAACTTTGCTCATCTAAGGAAACAAGAAAAAGCCACTGGAGGTGAGATCAGGTGATGAGAAAGGGTGGGGTATGGAGATCATTTTGATTTTGATCAAAAACTGGTAAACACTCAGCACAGTGTTGTCAGGTGTGTTATCATGGTGATAGAACCAGCCATCTGCCTGCCATAACTAGGGATGTTTCTTCTGTAAACTGTGACACAATCTTCTCAAAACTTCCACATAAAAACTTTGATTGACCATTTGATCCAGAAGAACAAATTCTCTACAAGGAGTGTTCTACAAGGTGCCCACCTCCAATCAATAAGTCCTGGTTTGGGGGGGTTCACACTGTTTATTGTCTGCAATCTCAGGACATTACAAACTCATGGCCGTCAAGTTGGTGGATAACTGCCCTTTCTGAATAAAATTAGTTGTTTCTACTAAAAATGTCCAAATCACCCTATAGCAAAATACTAAAATGATAAGGCATGCAACATGTTTTAAATGTTTCTA